AAAAGATTAAAAGTTAAAATTAAATTGAAAACTGAATGGAAAATTAGCAATAGAAAAGACCACACCTGAAGAGAGAACTAGGAAGATCGGAATATCTGTTACAGAATTCAGGACAAAAATATGACAGAGAATTCAAGTGTCATGAAGGAGAGATAGTTTTTTTTTTTTATTGAGTTTATTGGTACATTTAGGGATACAGTACAGTTACATTCATTGTTGGGATCATGTACCTTTACATGGCAAGTCTTGATTCTCATTTTTTCCCCTTGTCCCTGCCCTCCCTTCACCCCCTCCTCCCCTCCCCATTTACAAACACTTTATTTCCATTTTTTCATTTTCTCATATATTTTTCCCTTATTACCTTTCACCTATCCTTCCCACTTTCCCTACACCTTTAGCCCTTTCCTTCCTATTTCATATTGTCAATTGTATCATTAGGATCTTATGTACTATTATAGTTTTTCACATGAGAGAAACTATTCAGTATTTATACATGTGTGACTTATTTATTTCACTTGGGAGTATATCTTCAATATGTATCCATTTTCCTATGAATGAATCTATTCTCTCGCTCTTTATGGCTGAGTAATGTTCCATTTTATAGAAAAACCACAACTTCTTTATCCAGTTTCCAACGGATGGGCAAATAGGTTGTTAAGGAGAGATAGTTTAAGAAGGTTCAGCATGATTCTAACTAGAATTTCAAGAGGAAATAATGGGAGAAAAATGAATGTGACATTTTTAGAATTGATGAAAGAAATCTCAGGCTCCAAAAGCCCTAAATAATTCCCAGTGAGATAAATTGAAAGACACACACACACACCCCTCCAAACATATAGTGAAACTTTAGAATGCCAAAGACAAAGAGAATATATTAAAATTAGCTAAGGAGAAAATATAGTTTATCCATTTAAGGTTTGGCAGTTAAGTAGTTGACTTCTCTGAAGCAAAAATGTAAGACAAAAGGTGGTAAGAAACTATTTTTTTAATGGGGAAAGGGTTTATTTAGCTTACAGTTCGTAGAGGTTTCGGTCCATAATCAGCAGGTTCCAAGGCAGAGTAGATGGCAGACAGGTACTGCAGAGGAGAAACAATAAGGCACACACAAGGTAGCAAAAGCAGCAAGGGAAACAGTTCATGGCAGTGGAAGACAGCAAAAATGTACTGAAAGATAGTAACTCTCAGAATTATTTATCGATTAGAACAATTGGTCAAAATAAATTATGTTGAGTTAGCAAATTAACTCTGAAAGCTCTGTGGCTTCACATAACAAAAATTGCTCTTGTTACACGTCGGGAACAGGTGGTGAGAGAGTGTGGCCCACACTTGGGGCATCAGTGGACAGAAGCACTGCTGTTTGTAGCTGCACTGCTCAGAGCCTCTGAGATCAGGCAGCAGGGAAGGAGGAGCATACAGAAACGTGTTCTAATTGTGTTTGACTGGTGGTTACACTTGTCTCCCCATTAAACAAGGTACAAACGTAAAATAAATTTACAAAGAAAATGTTGACGAAATTTGCATACTATAAAATGAGAAACTTTGGTTCATCAGAACTTATCACACATTAGTAGAATGTATTTGAGGCAAACTTAACTGATACAATACAAATGTTTTTAAAAAGCCAACAACCAAATAGAAAAATAGATATTACACAGAAGAGGAATACTATGCAGTTAATAAACACATTAGGATAGTCCATGTCAATATTTGGAAAACAGAAATTCAAACCCTCAGATATTGTTTGCACTCTCTTGATTGGGAAAAGTTTAGACATCTGCACAGGGTATGTTGGTGAAGTGTGAAACAATGGAAACTTTTGTGTTGTTCATGTGAATGTGAATTGGTGTGATTCCTTTGGAAAACTGGCATTATCAAGTAAAGGAAGAGATGCATTTACCCTATTTTTTAGTAATTCCACAACTGTGGAAACTAAAATAATGTCCTTCTTCCAAGATGCTTATACCTTAATCTTTAGAATATGTTAGCTTGTATAGCAGAGGCAAATTAAAGGTGTAGATTGGATTAAGGTAGTTCATCAGTTGATTAAAAATAAGAAAACACAGATAGCATTCATACATTACAGTAAACCAGTCTGTCATGGTGGGGGGAGGTTTGGAACCTGTAATAGTTAATGGAACACTTCTTCGACATGAATTTGCACCTTACAGAAAGAATTGTCAGGGATTGCTATGGGTAGGAATGTTGGGAGGAACGCATTTTATTACAAGAGCTAAAATGCTAGGTAGCTACCAGTAATTGAGAGAGAGTAGGAAGTCTATGTTTCTTTATACTCCCGTTAAGTGTTGGTTTTGGAATTTCATGCACCACATGCATACTGTATATTGTTTGTTGTAAAATATGAATACTTTGTTCAGGGCTCACTCTCTCTTTGTCATAAACGTCAGATAGTTGTAGCAAGTGAGGGTGGAATGCCAATACAGAAATTCTTTAAATGTAAAAAGAAAGAGAGAGAGAGAGACAGAGAGAGATTGAGAGAGAGATTATCCTAGATTATCAATGTGGACCTACTAAATGACAAGGGTATCAGAGAAGAAAAGGAAGGGAGAAGCCTTAGAACCAGAAAGATGGCATCATAGGAAAAGATGGATCAGCAATCAGTGGTTTTAAAAATGGAAGGAAGCCATGAGCCAAGGAATGGGGCGTTTTTGAGAAGACAGCAAAAAGCAAGAAATGGATCGTCCCTTAGAGCCTCAAAAAAACAAACCTTGAGTTTTTCCCAGTGAGATTAATTTCAGACTTGTGAACTCTAAAGCTATAAAATAATAAATGTGTCATTTAAAGCCACAAACAACCAAATCTAGTGATTTGTTGTGGCAGCATAAGAAACTAATGCAGTACTCTACAGAAACTTGCGCAATGGCAACAGGAGACATTTGCAAAATGATAAACATGAGAACTGTCAGAGCTACAAAAAGCTGAAAATAAGGCCATTTTTGTGGGAGTAGATCCCAAAGTATAGCAGAAAAATGATAGTATGATGGAATAACATAACAGCAGGGAAATAAATAAACCGTAGGCTCATGCATCAACATAATAGTACGTGCAAGAGCAAGTGGCAGACACATACTGAGATATCATTTATATGAAGTGCAAAAAGGTGAAAGTCCAATATGTTGCCTAAAGATCCATAGTGATACATATTATGTGAATAAAGCAAGGGAATGACAAACACAATTCCGATGGTGGTTGCTTCTGGTGGATTAGGCAGGACATGCAAATTAGGGAGCAGAGGACAGGGACCTCCCATGACATTGGTGATGCTTTGGAATAGTGATTTCACTGTGTATGTTTTGTTTTCATTTTTTGTAGCATATATCATTTTTGGGGCATCAGATATTTCGTATTTTAAGAAATAGAGGAAAATAAAATTTTTTTTAAAACCCTAAGTGTGACCAGAATGTAACACCGTCTTATGGGGCTTAGAATAAATAAGCTGCCTGAGGCACTATCATCAATCCTGATACTCAAGTGCTAAAAAATGCAATTTTTGGTACAATCTTGGTAACCGGCAGTTCCTCCGAGTCCATTGGCAAGTAACTTAACTGATGGTTAATTCCTTCCCATAGAGTCAGCCCAAGAAGTCCATAAAGTCAATAGAGACAGTTATCTGGAGAGTATCTCAGAACCTAAATAGCCTTCCCACATCAACTTCACTATTCCGTGTTGGTCAACAGTGATGAGCGCTTACTCTGTCCTGCACCGTTCTGCCCATACACAGTGCGGTACTCATGGCAACTCTTTGAGAGAGGCACTGTTATTTGTGTTTACAAATGGTCAGGTGAAATCATACAGTGGTTTCATACCTTCCTCAAGATCATGCACCTAGGGAGTAGCAGTCTTGATTTAAACACAACTGAGTTCAAAGCTTAAACTCTTATGTATCAGATTACACTGCGTCTCAGTTGTTCTCCAGTTTATTTGCAGATAAAATTTATGCTGAGGCATTGGTTGAAATGTAGATTCTTCTGACACAGTTGCTTGAAAATTGGTCTTCAAATGAGCCCTAGCATTCACATTGTCCACAGACATCTTAAGCATTTGCCACTAGTTTGGCTTCTCTTCAACTGATTTGAGCTGTAAATCTGACCATGCTTCTCCTCTGCTTCAAATTCCTCTATGTTTTTCATAAGCACTAAGGCTCACATTCATCTTTCTTAACTTAGCACGTGAGGCTCTTTGTCCTCTGACCCCTTCCTTTAGTGTCACATCCATCCAGATCTCCAAGTCCGTTCTTTACTTCCGTCCATGTAGCCCTTCTTCCACAACCATAAGTAATGGCTTTTCACACCTGCACCTTAGTACACATTGCTCTCTTATCCAGAAATGCTATACTTGTCTTCTTGGTTTAACTGACTTACACCCATCCCTCAAAATTCTGAAACTTTACGTTAGTTTCCCTCGACATATGCATTATTTCTAGCTCACGACACAACTCCAAATAATATCTATCTTCAGCTTCGCTTTAAAATTAGAATTGTGGAATAAGATTGAGCTCAGGTCATATCATGGTAAAGGCAGTGCCGCACTCACATCTTCTTCTGAGATGTTTTATTTGACTCTTTCAGCCCATGCCTGGCACAGTGTCTCACACTCTTCTGGTTAGAGTGATATGGATGGGTAACTTGGGCTGAAATACATTCTAGTTTAAAAGAGAACACCAAAAAAAACAAAAAACAAGAAACAAAAAAAACCCCACAAAAATACATATTTGCAGTCAGATTAAGTAGAGCCTAGCGTGATTTCTGTCTTTATCTAACTAGCTCCTAAGATAAGAAGGCATCTAAACAGGTAAACATGCCCAGAGGTGCTTAGTATGACAAGCGCGGGCTTCCTGAGTGGGGGAAAATTTTGGCACTGGAAGCTGCAGATGAACATGGAGACTGGAAAAGAGATTTTAACTCAGAGGCAGGGTGTCAGGTGGTGCAAATTTTCTTTGTGGAAGAGCTGTATTGTCATTCAATATTATCTTGGTTCTTCAGATGGAAAGATCGTGATTTGCTATCTTTGCAGTTGTGACCAGAGAGATTGATGTTGGGGCTTGGTCTCAAGGTGAAGGTATGCACACTGCCTGACTTTTGGTTTATATCTAAGGCTGCTGGTTTCTGAAAATAGAACTCAGCCCGTTCTCATTTCATGTTCCCTGTAACATGTTAGTCCTAAAACAATTAGTCTATCACTGATTGTTTGCTGCATGTCCCTCCCCACTTTGGCAAAATTTTGAAATTTGTGTATCATTACCAAGAGATTTTTTTATCTGCTGCCTCTGCAGTGACTTACAAAGTCATGAGGCCTCCTTTACTTAGGGCCATTTTTAGTAACGTAACAGAGTTCACTAAAGTTATCTAGCCCATGGAGTCTGTTCCAGTTCACTTGAGGAGTGAGGCCCTGCCTCTGACTTAGCCACTTTAACATATCAGTCTTTCGGGCCTCCTCTTTCCTCCCTCTTCAGGAGCGCCTCCCCTTGAATGGCTTCCTTGTAAATTTAATCTCACTTGTCTGCAGGCAGTGGAAGTGAAAATGGCAGTGTGCAAGTTTGAGCACCTGCAGTGCCTTCCTCCACCCCAGCTGATTCTGTACCTCCACCCAACCCTTCTCTGGAGAAGCCCTAAGTAGAATTCTGTCCCTCTCATCCCACCTTTCACAAACCATGAGATTTAAGCAGTAATGATCACCTTTCAGCTCTTCTTTTTTATTTTCATTGACTAATTAGACTCTGGCATTTAGTTCACCATGAGGCAAACTCTCTTAGTTGGGCATAACTGAGTCTGTCTTCTCTCACTGACTTACTATCTCAGTCGATATAGTATTGGTTGCCTTAAAAAAGGAGCCTATTCTGTTTTCTGCCTTTGAATCTCTTTAATCCTTGACAAGAAAAGTAAGGAGGTGGGGCAGGCAAGTATCTGATACATTCAGTTTCTAATTTTCTTCCTTTTTTTTTCTTACATTTAGTATTTTTATTATGAAAGTAACATGTGCTCATCATCAGTAATTAACCCAGAACTGGAAGAATTTCCCAATCCCAGCTCCTACTAAGTATGAGTATGTGGTAAGTATTTTTTCAGTTATTCTCTAGGCATTTAAACTAAAGCAAGATAAAAGGTGAAATATAAAATAAAAATTACACAAAACATACTTTAAATACACAAATAGAAAGCTACCTCAGGCACTATTCTGTCAGTGACTTTGTAAATTTAATAATCATTGTGGTCATTTCCTGTGTCAGTGTACTTATTTGCCCATCATTCTTTTTAATATTTATAGAATACTTTTAATAGTTAGAATACCCTGGGTGCAAGTTACAATAACTCAATTCACACTACCTCAGGCAAAGAAGAGAATTTGCTGTTTAAAATGAGCTGGAGAAAAAGAGATTGGGCTGGCTTTGGGAAGGAATGAGTCCAGGAACCCAGTGTATCATGGAGGTGACCTCTCTTTGCATTTCTTATCGCTGGTGATATGTTTGGCCACCTTCTTCCCTAGAGCAAAGCCAAGTTATTCCATGTAATAAAAGTTATTTCATGAGAACCTGTTCCTGCTGATCCCTTCTTTTTTGCATGATCCCAAATTTACCAACCTCCTGGTTGGGTAATCCTGAACTAATTACTTCCCCTCTCTGTACTGTGGTTCCACATGATAGGAAATGTCTTGGGGGTCACTTTTCTCCGCTCCTTCCTGTGGCTCACCAGAATCATGCCAAGGACAGAAATGGAATCCCTGTAAGCACAGTTACCCATTACTTCAACGCAGGTCCATGTAAGCACCAAAGTCAGTGTTATTCTCTAAGAGAGGGACATGGTCATATCTTGAAGGCCACCTTGAGTATAGCATTTTGGAATCCATCTCCTTTTACTTATGCCTGGTCATGAGAATTTCAGAGAACACCAAGCAGAAAAGTGCCAGTATAAATACACAGAAACATGTAACTTTTAAGCAGCAGAAAAGTGAAAGGTAAATGAAATTCCGAAAGAAGACAGAAATAAAATACCTTATCTATTCAGAAGCAAAGATAGTAAATATATCTAACTTCTCTACAAAAAAAGCATAAGGAAGAAGGTAGAATGAAATATTCAAAAAGTTAAGTTACAAAAAAGTCACCTAACATTCTCTGTTTTGTAAAATTATCCTTTAAAAGTAAAGCAGAAAGACTTTCTCCAACAAAAATTGAGGTGAATTGTTTCCAGTAGCTGTATCTTGCAGGAAATGCTTAAAAAGTTTTTTAGAAAGAAGAAAATAACTAATGTCAGAAACCTAGATCTATGTAAAAAAAAAAAAGCACTAGAGAAAGAATAAGTGAAGGTAAAAAATTTATTTTATAATCTTAAATTGAGTTAACAGATGACAGGTTATTAAAAATAATAACAGCAATAATTTATTTGATTAAATACACACACTTATATATTCTTAAGGGTGAGTGGAATTAATGACAAAGGACAAGGGAAAGGGAATAGGATTAAATTTTTTATGAGATATTCCATGAAGTGATACGTTACTATTCAAAAGTGAACTTGGAATAATTGTATATGTATTTGCAAACTCTAAGGCCACCACTAAAAATATTTTCTTTAAAAAATAGTCCAACTGATATTCTAAGAAACCAGAGAAAACAAAACCATATACAATATAATTTAAAACCACACAAGGCAGAAAAAAATTTAAGACAAAAACAGGAACAAAAAAACAAGGGTAATAATTTGACAACAGTGACAAATATGGCAAAATTCAATCTAACTGTATAAATTATTATTTTGAACATCAATGATATAAATGCATCAGTTAGAAGAGTTTGTGAGGTGCTCAAACACAAGATCTAACTATATGTTGTTGAAATCCACTTTAAATATAAAACCATATATAGGTATTGTAAATACAGTGTAGTCTTGAGTTACGAGCTCAATTTGTTTGGTAGGGCTGGTTGTAACTCAAGTTGGTCTATTCAAGACTCAGGTTCCTCTACATAGCCTTCAAAGTCTCTCTTCTATATACAGGCAGATCTCAGTGTCCTTATAGAAACTTTGGTCCAGGAATTAACCTCACACAGGAAAGGACGTTATAATGATCCTTCCAAAATTTGTTAAGGGTTAAATCTGTATCTGAGACCATCTGGAAGCATAAGTGGCTGGCATTTAGGTTGTAACTCAAGACTTTGGTCATAAGTTAAAACTAAAATTCTAATTTTAGCCCAAGTTGTTTGTATGTCAGGCCAGTTGTAACTGGAGGGTCCACTGTACAAGGGAAATAAAAATGAAATGAGTAGAAAAAGCAAATACTAACCCAAAGAAAGAGTAGTTGTATTAATTTTACACAAAACAGATTTCCTAGTAAGAAAAAATATTAGGGATAAAAAAGGCCATTATATAAGGAAGATATAACAACTATGAACATTTGTGACCCTAACAATACTATATTAAAATATAAGACTCAAACACTTAGAGGAATTAGGTGAACTAGAATTACATTTGAAGATTTCTATACTTCTCTAGCAGAAACGGACAGTTAAATTCAACATCGCCAACCATTACCATGATATAGCGTACAATGAGACTACTGCACTCAACAACAGCAAAATACACATTCTTCTTAAGCTCACATGAAGCATTCAGTAAGAGAGACAACATATCAGGCCATCAAGTACATATTAACATTTTAAAATGTGGAAATCATATATTTGCTCTTTTCAAATCACAATGAACATTATTAAATTAAGCTAAAATAAAATAATAGAAAGGTGGTTGAAAAAAAATCTATGAATAACACATGTCTCAAAGAAGTACTCTTGAAAGAAACCCTTCTCCATTTTTGGTGGGAGTGCAGACTGATGCAACCACCATGGAAATCAATATGGAGATACCTCAAAGAGCTGGGACTAGAGATTCCATTTGACCCAGCCATCTCTCTGCTGGGTATCTTTCCAAAAGAATTAAAAGAATCATATCATGGTGATATATGCTCACCTGTGTTTATAGCAGCACAGTTTGTAATAGCTAAAACTTGGAAACAGCCTATTTGCCCATCAGTTGGAAACTGGATAAAGAAGATGTGGTTTTTCTATAAATTGGAGTACTACTCAGCCATAAAGAATGATAAATTAGATTCATTCATAGGAAAATGGATACATATTGAAGATATACTCCCAAGTGAAATAAATAAGTCACACATGTATAAATACTGAATAGTTTCTCTCATGTGAAAAACTATAATAGTACATAAGATCCTAATGATATAATTGACAATGTGAAATAGGAAGAAAAGGGCTAAAGGTGTAGGGAAAGTGGGAAGGATAGGTGAAAGGTAATAAGGGAAAAAATATGAGAAAATGAAAAAATGGAAATAAAGTGTTTGTAAATGGGGAGGGGAGGAGGGGGTGAAGGGAGGGCAGGGACAAGGGGAAAAAATGAGAACCAGGACCTGTCATGTAAAGGTACAAGATCCAAATGATGAATGTAACTGTACTGTATACCTAAAATGTATGGATAAATTCAATGAGAGAAAAAAAGAAGTACTCTCAAAAAACTTAAAAATATTTTATTTGGAACAAATGAAAATGAAAGCACAGCACTGGAATTTGTGGGATATAATGAAAGCAACGTTTAGAGAGAAATTCATAGCATTGAATGTGTATATTGAAAGAGAAGAAAGATCTAAAATCGATCATGTAAACTTCCATTTTGAAAACTAGAAAAAAGAGCAAATTAAATAATATCTAAGGTAAGCTAAAGAAATACCAATTGAACAGAAATCTGTGAAATTGAAAATAGAAGTCAGCAGAGAAAGCCAGCTGATTGGAAAATCCCTAGGAGATTAGAAAAGCACACTGCTGAGTGCATTCTGTGAGGGTGTTTCCAAAGAAGATTGGCTTGTGGGACAACAAACTGAGGTGGGAGACCCACCCTGAATATGGGTAGTACCATCCCATAGTGTGGGTTCCCAGAGGAAAAGAAAAACAGAAGGAGGAAGCCCATCGTATTAGTCACTTTCCTATTACTAGGACAATATAAGTGACATATACAACTTAAGGAGCAGAGGTCTATTTCAGATTATGTTTTCAGAGGGTTCAACCCATGGTCACCTGGCTCCAAGACAAGTTTAGTGCCCACAGTCCGATCACTTTTCACAAGCCTTACCTCTGAACACATGAGTCTTTTGGGTAACTTTCCAGATGTAAACCATAACACCATAACACCCACCAACACAGTCTCTCTTCTCTTTTCTTCTCCTCTTCCTCCTCTTTCTCTCCCCTCCTCTCTTCTCCCTTTCACACTTCCTCCTCCTCCTGTCTCTGTTTCTGTCTCTGTCTCTGTCTCTCCAGCTACCGTATGAGTTAAGTATCTTTGCTTCCCCATGCCCTTACACCAAGATGCCTTGCCTTACCACAGGGCAAGAAATATTAGAGCCAGTGGACCATGGACTAAAATCTCTAAAACTGTGAGCAAAAATAAATCTTCGTTCCCTTTAGTTGGTGTATTGGTCAGTTTTCCCATCACTGGGACAACATAGTTGACACGCACATTGTAAAGTAGGAGAGGTTTATTTTGGCTCAGAGTGTCAATGGGTGCAGTCCAGGTTTTCCAGCTCCAAGGCATGGTGGAAGAAAGCCAATCAATGCTTAGTGGCCTGGAACCAGATAGAGAAGGGAGGAGCAAGGGTGCAGAATCTACCCTTTCAAGTCATGTAACTAGTGATCTGCCTTCTCGCCGGGCCACAACTCTAAACATGAGACTTTTGGGGAACATTTTAAAAATTGTTTTTATTTTGAGGAAACATTTTAGATATGATCAATCACAGTTGATTTTCTCAGGTATTTTGCCACAGCAATGAAAAGGTGCCTGACACACATGGAAGCAGCAGGAACTCTTATTCACTGAGAATGCAAGATGGTACTGCCACTTTGAGACACGGTTTTGTAGATATCATCGTACAATCCTGTAATCACAACTCTTTAGTATTTACCTAAAGGAGTTGAAGACTTATGTCCATGTGAAAATGTGCATGTGGATATTTCTAGCTTCTTTTTCAAAATTTCTAAAACTTAGAAGCAGCCAAGATATT